TGGAATATGAGGAACCCAAATAAAGTATTTGGATCCCATGATAAGATAATTTGGAGCATCTAACAATTAAATTATGCTCAAAGACAAGTAGAAACAAGTTCTAGAAAAAGTTGGAAAATTTTCCGAGAAGTTTGTAGAGATTGATTGATGGACGAGGAACTGAAAGGAGTGATTTGTGTTACAAAGAAAAGATTTTAGGAAGCTCCCAACGAAAACTTGAGCCGAGAAATAAAGAATTTGATTGTAGAAAAAGATAAAGGCGTGCCGAAGAAGGAAAATCGACCTACTAACGCATTTTAAAGACTTTGCTCACTCTCAGCACACAAAGAAGCAACAAACAAACATCACATCATCCAAAAGCCCATCAAAATTAGAAAACTTTGAAAATTCACATTTTTTCTATAACTAAATTTACGCTAGGTCAAACTAAACTTGGTAAATTTAATCCAAATATTAAAATAATTCATTTTATTTAGTGTTTTCTATGCACAACCCAAAATCAGAAATTTTGGGGTGTGACAAACTACCCCACTTAACAGGAATCTCGTCCTAAGATTCAGAGACTAGGGAGAAAGATAAAGATCTTCACGCCTCCACACTTCTTTGATTCGGGATTCATGAGATGAAGGAATGAACTTGCATGATAAAGTGGATTTGGGAATTGCATAGGATAGCAAGGAAGATAAAGGTCAACGATGCTTTGTAGAGGATGCTACCCCACTTAACAAGAGTTTTGCTAAACTCTGAATATTCCGTACGAAGATCCTCGTGTTGGTGTAGTCTTCAGGGCCTTCCTTTGGATCACAAAGATAGAGATGACAAATAAGCAACACACCAAAAAAGACAAGCATGCATCACAACATCCAAACTACACGTGCTTCTGTAGCAATGGCGGGCATCCTAAGGAGTGGATTATGATGAAAGGCCATCGCAAATTTGAATAGGGTGAGATTAGAAAACTTTTGTAAACCAAATAAATAAAAATCAAGGAGATAAGAAGCAATTGCTCAAAGGAAGCTATCAAGGAGAGATGAAAATAGGACAATGATAAGAAATAATCAATTTAACTAGTCAAGGAGATGAAAAAGTAGTTTTGTAGCAAATTATATACCTTAGAACGACCAGATTCTATTAGGCTTGAGTCCTACAGTCAGCATTGCTCTGATACCACTTTGTAGCACCCAGTTTTAAGAACAAAACCAGATACAAACCATATGTGAGCCTAGGAAGTCAAATCTCACATATAGCTACAAATAAGGCTAATATCAATAGACAATGCTCAATATGCAACGTGCTTAGTATAAAGAATATAACCTTAGACAGCAAACAGTGAAAAGAATACTCCAATCTTTGGGTGAAGACTCCAATCCACAGGGACAACTGACTGGTTGATCACAAGCCTAATTCCTCCAAACTCTAGCAATCTGGTAACCATCCAGGATTTTTCGAAAGATTTAAAAAGTAAAGCAAGCGTAAGTACATGTCGTACTCAACAAATATAATATGGGGTTCATGAGGCTCAAAAGGCTGACACTGATTTAACTGCAATTAGCTTTTAATGAGTCGTCTTTTAGCAATTGGATGGCAACAAGTTTATCACAAGCCCATAAACACATGATCAGGTAAACGTGAATAATGAAGAGCATAAACAATTATCCATTATTGAGCATCTTCATCTTCCATATCATTCGTGTTCATCATCTATTTTGTAAGGGTTCCAAGGCCGCTCATGACCGAGAGCACGGCTGATATACTAGTTTTACACTCGGCAGACGTTATACACTTTCACCATGAGTCGTGATACCCATATGCCCGGATTTGCAACTCCCAAAACACTTCTAAGGTGAGCAGGCAGGGTACACTATGAAGTTTTTCCCTAGTCGTTCTAATAAGGAGCAGCCGCTAAGGATTCCATCTCCCAAGTGCTATGGAGTCATCTCCAGAAGTGGCAGTTATACACGCAGCATAGTACACACCCTGGGGATGAGGCCCATACCTAGCCTGGTATGCCCCTCTTGCCCTTTCGGTAAACTGCTACAAACTAGAAAGAGCAAGGTACTAGACTAAGACCAGAGCCATGTAGTCCTCATGGTTGTACTATAAGTCCCGAATGATCACTTATAGATAAGTCCTTAAGGAGAGGAATCTAGAGCACCATAAAAATAGTCCAATGCTCTAGCCCCCTTGTTCCATGTTGCTAAAAAGCATCTTCTAGTGTTTATTGCATATACCATTAGTCAAGTTACAAGATCATGGTTTTGGTTGACACTAGCATCGTACTACCCAAGGCAATACCCCATAGGTATCAAGGCACAAGCTACAAAGTAATAGGAAATCCTTAGTGGTAGTCAAGGTAGACACATGCAGTATGATAAGTGTGATTACTGGTGTATAGGACAATAAGGAAGATCCCATGCTATACTTGCCTTAAACTTAGATCATTCTTCTAGTCCAAACCTTCAATTGAACTCCTTGATCAACACATAAAGCTCACCGACTGGACATGATCATAAAGCACCACACAAGCATCCATGCAATCATACACGAAGCAAATAATAGAACTAAGCCAGAACAGTACACCAAACATAATAAACAACACGTAAAAAGGTTTTAAAGATGTTCTAGATGTCGCTACGAACACACATACACAAAAAGCACGCTAATCAGAACTACGGTTGTAAAGAAACGACTACAGGGTTTTATATTATAAAAGAAAAGAGAAGACTATAAGCTTGATTTATGTTAATTAGGAAAAACTATATGACTAGCAATAATTTAGATTAAACAAATCATATTTATACTTAAAAACTGAGTTGAAGCTAATCATATTTTATTTATAAATATTTTGATATCATTTATGCCAATTCAACTTTAACTTGCAAATACAAACTGACATGTGAGAACATCTAATCAAATTTGATATGTGTGTTTAGACTAAACATATTATAATTTAGAAACATATTTATGTTAGCAACTAGTCATGTTAAAACTTATTTGCAAAAGAGCATTGTATATAATTATGTTGCTTTTATTTATAAAAACTAGTTGCATGCATATTAATCAAATTAATATTTAAGCATATATATAAAAGTCACTTGACATGAAAAACGATGACACTAGCATGTAGATCGCATCGAATCGAATCTAACGCAATTGGAACGACTCGAAACGAACTTAAAACGAATATACGACGACGATATTATGAACCGGTGGTAATTTCGTAATTACCTCATCTTCATCCTTTGGCCTCCTATACAGCCACCACACGGCCATGGCAACAGCAGCTACATAGGGGTGGGCTCGACTTATTGCACGAAGGAGAGGATGGCCGGGCTGGGCAACGCGGCAGCGACGGCGACAGCGACAGCAACGGTGACGGCGAGAGAAGGAGGAGAAAAATCTAATTTACTACACGAGGAATTTCCCAAACTAGGGGCTCCCCTTACGGCAGTTTTGGTGTGCTTTGCCCAAGGGGTTGGTACATATTTATAGGGAGAAAAACTCCCTACATCTACATCAACTAACAATATGGTACTAATTGATGTTGCACCCTCCACATTTACTAATGGGCCTAAATAATCATTAAAGTCCATTAGTAAATAAATGCATGGGTCTTTAGGATTTATTAGAATTATTGCACATGGGCTTTGAGCATTGGGAAAAATCAGAGATTTTTTATTTTCGGAATTAATTAATTTCGTGGATAAAATAATTCCAGAAAAGTCTAGAATTATTATTTAAGCCGCGAAAAATACTCCGAAAGCTCTGAAAATTTGGGAAAAATTCTCAGAGACATTATGGAGCATGAGGAACCCAAATAAAGTATTTGGATCCCATGATAAGATAATTCGGAGCATCTAACAATTAAATTATGCTCAAAGACAAGTAGGAACAAGTTCTAGAAAAAGCTGAAAAATTTCCCGAGAAGTTTGTAGAGATTGATTGACGGACGAGGAACTGAAAGGAGTGATTTGTGTTACCAAGAAAAGATTTTATGAAGCTCCCAATGAAAAGTTGAGCTGAGAAACAAAGAATTTGATCGTAGAAAAAGATAAAGGCGTGCCGAAGAAGGAAAATGGACCTACTAACGTATTTTAAAGACTTTGCTCACTCTCAACACACAAAGAAGCAACAAGCAAACATCACATCATCCGAAAGCCCATCAAAATTAGAAAACTTTGAAAAATCACATTTTTCCTATAACTAAATTTGCGCTAGCTCAAACTAAACTTGGTAAATTTTATCCAAATATTAAAATAATTCATTTTATTTAGTGTTTTCTATGCACAACCCAAAATCAGAAATTTTGGGGTGTGACCAAAGGCCTGGTGAAAAACTCAATCATACATGCTGTTGTTTTTTCCTAAACAAGAACAGAAACACATAAGAATCTGGAGAAAGTGAACATGATCCAGTTACCAAAAAATAGACCCAAAAATGTACTCTAGCGGTGTCGGTATTCTTGGCAAAAAGTGTTCCTAGAAGAGAGACCAAAAAGTAAGCCAAAGACTTCAGACGAGACTAAGATTACATTAGTACCAGAGATGACAATTAAATTGACAACGTAGGATTGGCTGAGTTCATAAAGGTTCATTTATTCAGAATAAACAAGACAGCAACAGAGCAACAACCAACATTGGTAGTTGCGGACTGGCAGCACACAGAAATAGTATTTATAAATATTCAAGTGCGCTATCTATGTTTCTTTAGAAATATAAACCATGCTCCCTATCAACTCAAAACTTGCTGCATGAAACAAATTCATCACCATGACAAATTATTTTTCAAGCTAGCTACCAATCTGATTCAGGCGTATAGTAACAGTACAGAGACAACAAAAAATGATTTTAGGAAGGACAGAATTGTCGGTCGCTTTACCTAGCTTGCCTTGGAATTTTCCATGTGACAAGTGAGCGTTGTGCTTGTCTTGGTTGATATCGGCAAGCAGGCCATTAAGATCCAGCATAAGTAGCTTCTTCTTCCTCCTTGTGCTAAACTCATCATTGCAGAGTCTCTTGGTGGCCCATGTCCTGAACGACCCTGCTCCCGGCTTCCTTCTTGTAATCAATGGAAGCACCATGATCATTGATCACACCATCGTTGGAATCCACCACCGTGCAGCTGGCAGTATTATCCACCAAGAACAAGCGTGCCTCTTCTCCATCAGCAGTCACTTGATCCGTCTTCCTCATATTCGTCTTCTTCGAGCCGTCCTTCCTGTCGTTATCGGAGCTTGAAGCATCGGCTACATGCTTACCCAGTGTACAGGCCTCGGCTGCAGAAGCCAGAAAACGACTTGAGATAAGGAAGCATGCATGGTTTCACCGATCATTAGACAGTTCGGTTGAGATAAAGAAAAAGATGAGCGGGCCTCACCACCACCACCTCCAGCAGCAACAGGCTCTGATAATACAGCCGGTTGATCCGACGCATCATGTTTATCGGCTCCGACGGTGGCACCGGTGGCGTCCACTACCGGCGGTGTGGGTTCCTGCTCCTCGTTCTTCTTCCTCTTCTTCAGACCAGGCTCCTTCATCCCCTTCCCTCGGTGGTGGTTCCTCTGCTGCTGCAGGCCGAGGCCGCCGTCAAGCAAATTTGGATACGGGGTACTACAGGTTTGTCAATAAATCACATGACAATGCAGGCTAGCTAGGATGCATATGGTGTATGTATACCTGCAGCGGTGGCAGCGTTTGGCGCCGGCACGGCGAAGGTAGTGAGCTCTTGCCGCAGCCCCATCTGTGCGCCTTGGCGTAGTCGACGTTGGATCCCGCTCGGCGGAGGAACGAAGAGCATCAAATAAGCGAAGCAATAAATAAATTGCAGGCGGAAGGAAGTTCAAGCGGCGGGCTTCCTCGATGGCCTCCGCCCTCCAAGGTCATCGGTCTCCATGGCGGCCGATCTCGAGGTAACTGCGGCGGGCAGGGGCACCTGAGGCGGCGGTGGGGCGAGATCTATCTGTGCGCCGGTTGCTTAGCCGGGTGGAGGATGGATTGATGGGATTGGATCGCTGGATATGAGAAGGAATCATCCGTTCCCGTGATGAGGGAGCGAACCACGGATGCCGCATATATCGGCGGGGTACAACACAGGCGAGTAGGGATGGGGACGGTGAGGTGGGCCAGCGGTGCCGGGATCGGAGACGGGCCCCGGGCACCGCGGCGCGTCCGAGCGTGGCGCCGCCGTGGCCACCGCGCCTGCCGCCGGTAGAGGCGGAGGAGCCCCTCCTCGGTTGTGGCTAGAGGGAGGCGGCGGCACCGCCGCACGCCGGCTACAGCGACCGAGCAGCTGAGCGTCGAACACCGCCGCACGCTCGAAGCCCTGGGAGGAATAGAGGATGGGAGGAGGCGACGCAGTGGGCATGGCCGCACGCAGGGCACCACGAAGCAGCGCCCGGGCGGCGCGGAGGGCGACGTCTGGGCGGCACGGAGGGAGTCCCAGTGGGAGAGGGCAGCTGGGCCTGGTGGCGGCAGGGAGTCGCGATGGGGGAGGGCGGCGCGGAGGAAGTCGCACGAGCCGATTGTATTTCACGGGCGGGGTAGGGAGTCGCCAAGGGGATGGGATCGCGCAGGCAGACCGACGAGCCGAAGTTGGATGGTCACACCGTCCACTTTTTAGTCTTTTTATTAATTGTGGGAGATAATACCTCTCGGACATCGGAACACTATATTTATTATAATCCATAAAACAGCCTCTGGGTTATGTTAATTTTATCACTTTTCCTATACTACAGTCGCCTGATCTGTGTGAGTTGTTCAGGCGACGCGATCGCGCGCGCAGCCTCAAGGTCTCTGTTGGGTTGTATACGATCCGGATGTGATTCAATTCAATAGAATGAGACCCGTTAACACATCCTAGACCCGGTCCTAATTGTGCCCACTGCCGACACCTCTTCGAATTTTTTTTTGTTTTCCTCAAACCGTGCGCCCTTCAGACACGAAAGGAATCCGAGGCGACTTCACCCAGGTCGTGGCGACAGGGCGATTTTTCCGGTGATTTGCCGCATCGTCGCCGTGGCGAAGCGATTTTACCGGCGAAATCCCCATCTCAGGTGACGCTCTATGTTCTGTGGGGTGGCTGCATCTCCTTCCTCCTTGCTCATCGTTGCTGAATCACTTGTTGCTTGTGTGTACTCGATCCCATTTCCTGATTGGGTGTTGATTTCGTCTTCGATTGGTTGAAATCATATTTTGAGGAGGGCACGGGGATGGACCTTTTTTCCAGTAAGGTTGGGATTAGCGATTTTGGTGTAGTGTGCAAATATACAGGGTCGTATTGTGTAGATCTGGTTCTTCTTTCTTACCCTGCTGATCTAGCGAGTCACTCGTTGATTCATTTCTCCCTCAACAGCAAGCAACCGTTACCTCTTTTTGCTTGGTTTCTGTATTCCCCTGTGGAAAAGGGGTTAGAACTGGGAAGCAAAGGATACAGACGGAGTGGTGGAGAGGTGTGCTGATTTTTTTAGTGGTATTGGCCGGATGAGTGGTGGAGATGGAGAGGTGTGTTGGTGATGTATGCTTTGTGCAATCCATTCAACATTTGTTGGAGGTCATGCTTTGATTTCCTTCTTGCCCTTTGCAGTTAGATGTGCAAGTTGTATTATCAAATGCAGTGAATTACCCCTTCTGTTTGTGCCTCACTATAGGTGATTAGGCGTCAAGTATTGGAGTTGGCTGCGGCAACTGACAATTTAAAATTTTACCATAACTTTGCTTTTGATTATCGTTCACGTGAAAAGGGTTGGCTGAACACTATATCTTTGGGTCAGTTCTGATGACCTGAGCCTGCATAAAGAATGTAAAAGATTCATGTACATTTCTTCCTTACCTGATATTTGTAAAAATATTTGAGGTGTTCTGCCTGTACACAACTCAGGCAGATGCCATGAATATAGATTGTCTTATAGCACAAGTTTCTGATAAGGTCCCTTCATAAGAAATTCATATTAGTTCATGAAATAAATTTGAGATTTCTATTGTTTTACTTTGCTCTTTCAGTTTTTTGTTGCCTTCCAGGAATATGTTGTGGTTCTGATATTTTGTAGGATTAATAACAATATTCAAAAACTGTATGCACCTATATGGTTGAGTTCTTTCTTTGCTACGTTGCTCATAAACCTTAGTCTCAGGGATCACTTTACGCAGGAGACATCTCTCATTCAAAAACTGTATGCACCTATATTGCCACGATGAGGTGAGGATGCTGTACAAATTTTCTTGCAGTCAGTGTTCATTTCAATCTCCTTTGAAAAATTCTAGCGTAGTTCGAGCTGCTCTGTTTATTGTTCTGTAGCTGTCTGACACAGGCCTGCCTGTATTCTTTCAGCAACAATTTGGCTTGCGTGTTTGCAGCTCTCTCACCAGATGTTTCAGATAGCAGCGTCTTGGGTTTAGTACTTGTTCATCTGAATTATTTCAGTTTGCATTGATAGCCAGTGTCCTGCTAATTCCAATGTGCAACGGTTCCTTCTTTGGTTACTATGAACTGCAACATTTCAGCTGCGCGGTGTTCCAGATATTCAGTTCAGACAGAGATTGAAATAGCTATTGGGTAGTGTACTTGATCAGTCCGATAGGAAACCATGTGGTGCCAGCTCTTGCTTTCAGTCCACCGGTCGAGTAAGACAACAGCAGCAACAATTTTGGCTCAGTTGGGAAGTAGTAGGACAGAGACAGCAGCTGCACTTCGACAATCAGGTAAGGAGGTAAGCAGTGCGTCTACAGCTGGCTGCTATTTCCGTTTGCTTGCACAGGCAGTCTGTTTAATGTTCAGATTAGAATCTTCAGAGTAGCAGCTCTGTGAGTTAAGTACTGCACCATGAGTTTTCGTTGTGACTGAAATCATTTTCTTGTCTTCTTGTCTACGGAGTAAGCACTAGTTCCTTTGCCTTGATTTGCATCAACGTGCTGCCACTTTGTGTATAGTCACCATCATGCTATAGTGAAAAGAATTACCTGCTAATGATTACTACTTGAGCTAATTTGTTTGCATTAGGAGATTTACACGGCTGCTACTGTGAAAGTTTAGTGTGTTCAAAATTGAAAACAGTGCACAAAGTTTTTCTTGTGATCTTTAACTTCTTCCTGCATTTTCGCATGCTAATTAGAATTTTTTGTTAGCTGGTTAATTAGTGATTAATTAATTTGTTTGGGTTATAATTGGGGATATAGGCCTTAATTTCTCGCAAAGAATTTTAAAGGCTCCCATTCACCTATATAGTTTCAGGGATTAATAACAATATTCAAAAACTGTATGCACCTATATTGGCACTGGTGTTGGTGTAAGTCCATGTTAAGTCCATGTAAGGCTCCTGTAGCTTGTCCCTCCCTGTGACAATATATAGCTTGATCCTCCTGTCACATTATAACATGCAAATTTTTGCATTCATCATTACAATAAAACTATAATATTTTGGTGTTGCCCACATATTTTGGGAACTCACATTCATTTCTTTTCTTTGTTATTCTTGTCCATAGCAGTTGTAGGTCACTAGTGCTGTGGAACTCTCCTGTTCATGACAAACAAACAAATCAAACACAAATATCATTAGTTGCAATGAGTACTAGTGTAAATTGCTAGTATGTAGCACCGCAATTGTAGTTGTCATAATATGCAATAAGTTGATTTGTGCTAACACATCTTGAACTTTGTTAATTGTAATTTGTGGCAACACACCTCTTTTTTATCCTTGTCCTTTCATAGAAAAAAATTGTTTTTTGTGATTTGTGCTAACACACCTTTTCATCTGTTTATTGTGATTTGTGCCTGCCCACACCAAGTTTTTGTCCTTGTCCTTTCATAGAAAAAAAATGCCTCTTGTGATTTGGGCTAGCTCACATTTCCTTTGTTTATTGTAATTTGTGCTTGCCCAAGCCAAGTTTTTGTCCTTGTCCTTTCATAGAAAAAAAATTATCTCTTGTGATTTGTGCTAACACTTCATGTACTTTGTTAATTCTGATTTGTGCCAACACACATCTCATTTTTGTCCTTGTCCTTACATAGAAAAAAAATTGTTTATTGTGATTTGTGCTAACACATATTGAAGTTTATTTTTTGTGATTTGTGCCAGCACACACCAATTTTTGTCCTTGTCATTTCATAGAAAAAAAAATTGTCTCTTATTATTTGTGCTAACACACCCTTGCTCTGGATGATAGGGTTGATAATGGATTGTGGTTTCTCAATGACATTAGAAAATGATGATTGGTTAGGACGATGCACGTGAGCTGTACAATTGTTTTGATTTTTTTCCTGCGGAAGCTAAGTATTTTCCAATCTTTTGTCCTGTGCTAAGAATGTTTTTCTCTGAGCGCATAGAACAAATCAATGAATGTGTTAGCTATTTACAGAACACCTATAGTCCTATATTTGTTTTATCTTTTGATCTGTACCTGTGTTATCAGTGATCACTTCACAAAATCACACATGTTGTAGATGTAGGAGCTTAACAATTTTGGTTAGCTATACTTACACTCTCTCTGTCTCCTACTTGATTAGTTGCTTGCTTTTGTTTTTACTCTGTACAATTCTGCATGCGTTGATGTTTGCAGGAAGTCTGTACAATTCTGCCTGCGTTGATGTTTGCAGGAAGTTGCTTTGATATCACTGAATCTTTGTGCAGGACGTTGCTGCCAGAATAATGGACTTCTCACAACAAGGCCCAAGGCCAGTGTGCATCATTTCAGCAACTGGAGTTGTTTCTACAACAACCCTTCTCCAAGATTCAGAGTCTGGTGGTGTGGGTATATATGAGGTATGTTGTTGATGGTTATCATTTGCCTAAAAACTACTTCATGTATGTGTTCTGTTCTTCTCTTGTTGCATATTTGAATACAAATGTTTGCCCACTGTCCAAATTAAACAAAAGGTTTGATGGTAGCATTTGCCTGGATAGTTGGATTGCTTGCATGTTACAACTGAAGTATTGCTATCAAAGGTCAGAAAAAAAATCATAAAAGGAGGTATTTGTTTCCACACTTTCTCTTAGTTAAGTATACTGAGGACGTCTGCTTTCAGTCCAAGGTTGGGGTTATATCCTTGTTTGAGGCTACAGTGCAGGCCATACTATACAAGATAATTTCTATTTTTTCATGGAATTGTTCATGTATACTTTGATTATTTTGTTCTTATTTAGTTTTGTACCCCTGAAGGGCGGGCCTGGTGCAAGCGGTAGAGTCTTACCGCCTGTGACCGGAAGGTCCCGGGTTTGAGTCGCGGTCTCCTCGCATTGTATAGGCGAGGGTAAGGCTTGCCACTGACACCCATCCCCAGACCCCGCACAGAGCGGGAGCTCTCTGCACTGGGTATGCCCTTTTTTTAGTTTTGTACCCCTGTGCTTTATTGTTGATTTGGCAGGGTCGATTTGAGATCCTATGTCTTTCCGGATCGTCCTTGGTGCTAGATGGTGGCACACAGACCCGAAGCAGAGGAATCAACAAGACCTCTGCTTGTTGTGTTGGTGTTGGTGCAGTACTATAGAAATAGATGCATCGATAGTATACTACTGAATTTTGAAGTGCTCTGTTCCTATTAATATCTGCTGTTGATGAAAACCAAACAAATAAAACATTGATTACAAAATTGCAATGAGCAATAATGGAAATTGCAACTATCAGGCACCGCAATTGTAGTTCTGAGCATATGCAATATGTTGGTGTTGAACCATTTTGCCTCATATTCTCGTTTTTCTGCTAGTTGATCTATATATTCTGCACGTATACACTATTTGCCTATTTAACTTTTAATTTGTGTTCGTTTTATGTATAAATGTTTGAACCTGTGTATTTTGTCAACAAGCACAGTGGTTCTGGAATCTACCATGCTCACAATGTTCCTGTTCTGGAGCTCACCTTCTGGGGCGGCAAAAGGGGCTATATGACTTAAGCTTCACATTCTCCTTCCTGTTCATCTATGAGATGCCTGGGCTATGATCCAATGTGCAATGCCCGTGGTATGGATGCAGAACCAACTTGCCCAGAACAAGACACATAAGCTCATCCTGAACTACATTAATCAGGTGTGGTTAACTAACATTTAGTGCAGGGCGTTTCTGTACCACTTAGTACTTTGCTTAACTATTTCATTATGACAGCTTTGCGAGCGTCTATCTAGTCCCATGGGAGAATCAGCCGTGGTCTGTGCCAGTCTTTGGGTCCATGCCTGACATTGTGTTCACTATTGGAGGCAAGAAGTTCAAGCTCAGACCAAAGCAGGTGTGATCCCTTCTCCGTTATCACACTCTGAGCTCTTGATCATGTGATTTCAAATAAATGTTCCTATACACAGCTCTTAAGTCTTACCTTCTATTTTTGCAGACTATGTGAGGGTGGTGAACTATTGCACCGAATTCTGGCCAAGTAAGGAGATAGGATGTCCATCTCTTTGTTTCCTGTATCTCAGTCTTTGTCATTAAAATTCTAGATTTTTGTGCTGTAAAATCAGATTGCTTTATTTTGTTTGTCTGCTTCGTTTGATTTGTAGTTGCTGGTATAAGGTTCATTACTAAATGGTGTGTTCCTTTGGACAGAAAGAATAGCCGTTATAGTGAGAAAGATGCTGCAGCAGTTGTGCGCCAAATGCTGAAAGTGGCTGCAGAGTGTCATCTGCCTGGGTTAGTTCACCGAGATATGAAGCCTGAGGTAGAAATCAAACACTTTCAATCTCTTTGCACTCAGTAAACATTTGGTGATATTTCACTGCTTCCTCTGAATCTGTCTGGAACCTGATATGACAAGTGTGCGATTCACAAAGCAATTCTTTCCAAGAAGGCTGCTATTATCAACTATCTTTTAGTGAACTCAGCAAATCCATTCATCCAAGATAAAGTGAGTACAAATCTTGTTTAGCATGCTTGTAAACAGTTTGTACAGAGCCTAATGCAAGCAAATTTTGTTTGGGCCTGTCTTCGTTATTTTAAGTTCCTTGGTGCCTTGTAAACAGCTTAACTGTTGAGACACAATGTAGTTTTGCCAAACATAAGTAATTGCACTTTTAAGTACATAAAGTTGCACTAATTCAAATGTGCAATTTCTTTATCAATGAAGACATTTCTACTGTTGCATTGTTTCCTTCACAAATGCTTTTGACTTCATTTTTATTATGTAATTTCTAATATGGTTTACTTGTATAACTACAGAGTGTTCATCAGAAATCATCAATTATCAATCCCCTAAACCCAATCATGAAGCATAGACATATAGCAATGCAGACCGAATCCCTTTCCACATTTTGAAGAACCAAGTTAGAGAAGTTTACAGAACAAAGGAGATGAAGTGAACACATGACAAAAACAACAGATTAGTACCTTTTTCTTTGACAGATCTTGTCCAATCTTGTATTTATGTGTAATTTTCACTGATTTTCGCTCTCTTTCTCTTGTTAGGTGCTTTCCCGATCTGTACTTTATTGGATCTGTTTCTTTTTTGCTGGAGGATGCAGTGACATATTTGTGCTTGTACGGCTGTTTTATTGGGCTAATAGTTGCATTCTGGCTCAAATGAGCACCCACTTCAGGTAGCAGTATTCGGTTTATGCGCCCTGTAAAGTTTGACGGGCCCGGCAGGATCTAATGTTCCTAACAGGTTTTTTTTTGCGGACCCGTTATGATTGCGGTGTACAGAAACAACTGTTAACAGATTTGGACCGTTCAAAACAATCTGATGGCCAGAAACCATCGCCTGAATAGAACCAATATTCCAGGCATCTGAAATATAGCAAATCCCATATAAATAATATTCACGCTTGGCTTTCGTATTGAAATAGACATAAATGTTTGTATACTTGCTTAGGTGGTACCCCACACGTTGCTGTGGCAATAAGAAGAGATATGAAACTTTCTATAGATGGATAATAATGTTTAGCAGAAGATATAATATGATGGACTATGGAAGATTATTGAAGGGTTCGGGGAAAAAGCGTATACTCGGATTCAATACCATGAGCTGAGAAGGCAGGGAAACGTTGAAAAAACATTTAACCATATAAGAGACGCAGACACGAGACCATTTTTTTAGCAAATCCGACGAAGGAGCCACTCGTGTAAACCACAAAAATGCTTGGATTACAAAGAATGCATCGCATGATTGTCATCTTATATGGTCCATCCTGAACATTCTATTAGATCAGACACAATAATAGAATGTGCAGATTTCTGTATATTAAATTTTATATCTTAGACGATTCCAACTGATAGGCTTTATTCAGTTTTAATGGTTCTAAACTTTACTTTAAAGCTTTTTTTTTGTTGCTGACCGAGATGAACTACTTCACTGCTATTAGCAAGATGAAGATCACATACTTGATGGTTTGCTTTTGGATCCATGTGCAGCTGGCTTTGGTGGAGATCCTACAAAGACAGCCCACCACCTTTTCAGGCATCGCCGTGCCATCGTCCGCCATGTTAGGAACCTATGCCAAATAATGACATGAAGAGGTTACTGGTTGTTGCTCATCGGCCTAATAATAAATTGAACGTTCTATCCCAATTGATCCAGTATCTAGTGTTAACGCAAAAACGTGGATCGATGCGAGACAGCACACTCAGGGAAGCCGGAAGATCTGTGGATCCGCTTGGCTTCAATAGCGGGATGAGTCGATTCGGAGACCGTCGGCGTGCCAGTCAATTTGAATCTACAATTGACAAGGAGAGAAGAGATAATCAGTAATTTAAGACGGAACATGTCGGTGTTGCTCCAGACAGTTCCAATGTTTGGCTAAAGAGCCGTTGAATGAAGGCCATCGACTAAAGAGTCGATATCCACCAGGTTCATGAATAATCAAGTTGAATACTATCGGCTATATAGCCGATTCGGATAAATTAATGGCATAGCATGCAGACAATCGACTGTTTAATATAAATAAATCTATAAACCAATCAGATTTCATCTATTATCGTTATCAATGAGGTTCGAGACTATGTAGCTATGATAAAGACAGCAGATTAAAGCTTATAAGTCGATAGATCTATTTATACTTCAACAGAATCATGAAAGAATGCTATAAATGTGAGAGCGCAAGCATTCGACTAAATAGCCGATACAGACATAGCAAACGAACAAGATCATATCTAACATTAAATAAACTCAATGATCAATAAATTCCAATTTTAAGCCCTACCAGTGAGGATCGAAGTGATACAGCTATGGTAAAGAACGATATATCAGTTTTCATTAAGATCAAATATGTCTTGAACGCGCGCTATGTTTGATCAAGATCAAGATAGAGCAACCGATCTGGCAGAATTAATCGTCAAAATAGAATTTAAGCATGATATGGTAAAATGACGACCGATTGACATAATATGTTGTTGATCTATCTTGACCTCGATCGGGTAAATTGGTGATGTTGCTAAAATTAATAAAGATATCAATAATAGCAAGATCAATAACTGATGAATCTACTAAAAACAGCAAGGAAGCCTTACTAATCTCTAATAGATTCGATAACTGGTGATTTAATCCATATCAAGCAGTGAGGTCACAAGGATACAGCTATGCTTTAATCTAGATAAATCGATAACTAACTTATATCAATACTCGCAGTGGGGATCAAAAGATACAGCCGTACAAGGATATATATAAGTCGTGACGGTACTTACAACAAACCGGAGGTCGAACCTAACCGATGCAGCCCTACTTATTAAAGAACTTGCCGAAATCTACAGTACTCCTACTCTTAATGGCGAAAGCCGGAAAGATTGTATCGATTGATTGATATCTTTTACAATAGCCGGGGTGTAATATTTATATACAAGGCCTAAACATGAGTCATAGTCGAATAAGACCATTACAAAACTTAGAACAGAAGAAAACGTCCTAATTTAAGATACATTGGACTCTATTCTTCCCTCTATCTAGAGTCCGACACGTTTTTAGCTTCAACCATCCTTACTTCCTTTGTTGGCATCGTCTAAATCAGAATAAATGTTGATGTCATGGCCCATTAGCCGATTCCGACGCTGATCCAGTTTAACCGATTCCTCATACGACGCGGCTTTCACAGTAGATCCAGAAGTCTCGGATTCCCGCGTATTATCCCAAAATCTGGTGTAAATATCTAGATTATATTCGGTACACATCCTAATCTCTATAAGCTCTGATAAAGTGATAATATCCTAATACTGTATGGATTTCTATTTTAAAGCTGAATATATAAATATTCTGTCACTGCATATATAAACGTCCATTTTGTAGAGAAATGATTACCTTATTTACTCTTCTTTTCGTGGATAACCTTCTTTACTCTTTAGATGTAAGTCCTTGGCTTTATCTGCAGTTGTCGACGCCTATTATTGTAACACTTTAGGGCGTCCCCAACAGGATTCGTCGGACTGACGTAGACGCGTGTTCCCAAGAAAAAAGCAAACTGCTGGCGATTTGTTCGCCGCTAGCGCGGAGCTAGCCAAGTGCATGCATGCTGTATTTTTTAATTCAACTACCAATCGGATACCTGTGGCAGAGAAAAAAAGCTACCCTTAATTAATTCTGACATGTAGGCCATATATCAACAGCTCCACGTCAGCTGTCGATTTCAACAACCCCGTTGCGGGCACCCTTATGGCCTGGTCGGATGTCGCGGTTTTCAAAAACCATAGTATCACAAAATTATAGTTTTATAAGTCATAGAGATAAAAATATGTGGTTTAAAAAAAAAAAATACTACAGCTTTATCAAACCATCATTTTATAGACTATAAAATTTGGTGTATCCAAACACACAATAACTTTTAAAAACCAAAGTATTTTATAGCATAGTATTTCTTCACTTCTTTGTGTCTTCTTTTTTTTAAAAAAAGAAAATTATCTTAGCTTTTAATAAATCTAGCAAGGAGTCTTACACGCTCAAAACAAAAGGAGCTTCCAGCTCCGAACAGCATCAAACAAAAGGCTACGCCTATTACAGATATATCATCTGCTCTTTTCGCAAAAAAAAAAAAAAGATATATCAGCTGCTCCTTCGTCGCCTCCTTGCTCATCTAGTCAATTAAACAGTGAGCCATCTCCTTCATCTCACTGTTACAAAACAAGCAAGACATTGTCGGTTAAAAAAACAGACGGTGAAAGCTTATCAGTTATCACTGCGGTCCTAATTGCTACCAGCTAGATAATGATTGATAGAGATGATAACCGACAGTAAAAACAGGTCATTGCCGGTTCCAATCACCAACAGCCGGTATATCACTATTGGTTTTTGTTAACAACTGTCAATGGTGTATTACTGCTTTTTTTTTCTTTTTGAGAAACAATGGTGTAATACTGGTGGTCGTAACGCTAGTGATAATATAGATATAATGGGTGTGTTCGGTTCACGTTTTGGTTCTGGCCTGACTAGCCAACTATGCCTGGGCAGCTAAAGCCTAGCCAAGATAATGCAAGATGGACTTGTTTGGTTGCACTGGCTAGCTTAGGCCCCGTTTAGTTTTCCCCAAAACTCAAAAAAATTTGTGTAGTACCCGTCACATCGAATCTTGCCGCACATGCATGGAGTACTAAATGTAGACGAAAAAAAACTAATTGCACAGTTGGGTGAGAAATCGCGAGACGAAACTTTCGAACCTAATTAGTCCATAATTAGACACTAATTACCAAATACAAACGAAAGTGCTACAGTACCTAAAACCCAAAAAATTTGGGATCTAAACGGGGCCTTAGCCTGCATAAGTATTGGTTTGTTTGGTTGCCTGTTTTGTCGTGTATAGAATCACCTTGTCTTTGCGCTGGTAAGGTTACCTCGAGGCATTTCATCCAATAAAGTGGTGAGCACGGACGCCAGCTCCTCTGCCCCCTCGTTGGCGAGTCCCTCCGCTGCACCCGCGCTTGGGGACGAAGCACCCGCGCTGACGCCAGCTCCTCTGCCTCCTCACTGGCGGGCAGCTCCGCCGCACCCACGCTTGGGGACAAAGCGCCCGCGCCTAGGCCGTCCTTGAGTGCGCGCGTACAGCATGCAACTGCAGCGATGGGAAGGAATCGAGCAAGATCCCGTGGGCGAGGAAGACGATGAGGCTAGATGCACCTAAGGAGAAGAAGTAGGTCGTCACAGCGAGCTCTGCCACGGCAATGACAGAGGGGTGGGAGGTGAGACGGTGCAGGTGCTCCAGCAAGGAGCTTGGCGGGGTGGGAGGTGAGGCGGCGCGGGTGCTGCAGTGAGGAGCTCGGCGGCGCGGGAGGTGAGCGCTTAGCCAAGTCTGGCTCCATGGAAACGGCCACCCACCTTGTTTTCGGTAAGCCAGGCTAAGGGATGGTGCATTGTTGGAGCCAGGCTCCGCGCCGCCAACGAAGAGCCGCGCCGGCGAAGAAGGCCGAGTTCCGGCCGACTTCCTTGGAGCGGATCCCGAGCCACGCCCCGAAGGGGGCCACAGGCCAGCGCACTCGAGCCCGGAGAGGAAGGCGCCGGTGGCCCTGACGAATCCCCCGGTTCCCCTGCTGTGTGTGCCTCCGACACGCCGCCGGCGGCCGGCCCCGAGGTCAGTGGCCTTCAGATTTTCCTTTGCTTTTGAGATTTGAACTGACGACTAGCTAGCTTGCTGCTGTGTTGAATTTGCTTTGCTCCGTGAGAACTAGCTAGGACCATACTATTTGTTTCTGAAACTACATGGGGAAGAGAACGCAGCTTAATTGACAGGGAAAATCAATTAAGTTAGCTTTTTTTTTTGGAGAATGTACTCATGTTGAGAAGTGTGTGTGCTGGCTTCTAAGCAGCAAGGGCTGCAGGTGTTTATAAAAAGTTCAATACTACACAGTTTTAAACATTTTTAGTTATATTTCAATCTAAAATCAATGTATGGCTTGTAGCACTGGAGAAAGTAGGTGCATATATAGTGATGTTTCACATCTTACATCAGCCCTGTTGCTTTTTTTTTCTAGTAGAATGATGACAACATGGTTTTTTTGATAGGAGTGGTATTCGGCCTGTTCGCTGGTTGGTTTTTGGGCTGGTTTGGGCTGGTTGATGCTGGTTTGTTGTGAGAGAAAAACACTGTTGGCTGACTGGTTTGGGCTGGCTGAAACCAACAAGCGAACAGGGTGAATGTTTATGTCTAATCCTCTTTGTTTGGTGTAACATTGGTTGAGAAAGGTGTTGGCTGGTCCATGCCTGCCTGCATATACCTAGGGCTTGTTTGGATTAGACCCTAGACTACTTTTGCCTGGATTTGCAGCTGCCTGGAGTCTGCCTGTGAGGTGTTTGGTTGGAGCCCTCAAATGATGACTGGACCAGGCAAGGGCAACGTGAGCCAGGCGACCGAATTCGACTGTCTGGGTACTGACGCGGTTGCCTGGCATGGAAACAGTGATCAAGGTAAAAGGGAACCATATCATATCACCGTGTAGTTTTTGTTTTGTATATTTTATATTTTCTATATTCTTTATCCCTTTCGTTGATCATGTTCACGCTAAATTAGCAGTGTGAGCAGTGTCAATTATCT